GTTCACACATCTGCAGCCGATGGGGTAACGACGTGCATTTCGATCACTAAACAATTTTAACATATTAATAACTACGGCAAATTGTGACTAAGGAATATTCCGGTTGGCTTCTAGGGCTTCTTGGCATAAACCAATTCATCCTTTGCCGTAGAACGCTACATAACACATCCAGATTGTTCAATTGGCGTCGTTCAGCCCAATACCTGGTCTCCTGAGGACGATTTCGAAGGCACTCGAATACCCATAGTTAAAATGCTACAGCATTATGTTCCCTATTATTAATGTATGTTAGTTACTACCTCATTCTTCTCAGGGTGGATGTATTTTTTACTGAACTGAAATCTGAAGATGTACTTACGAAGCATCTTGGCTGGCTAGACGCCAATTGTTAGTAAGACTTAGTGGGCGCCGGCAGTTGAGTGAACTCGATGCATGATGCCATATTTCCACATCACCCATCATTAAGTAGCTTAATCATCGCCATTAGGACCTGCAGACATTGGATTTGCAAAGTGATAGGATTTGAGTATAATACGATATAGCGTGTGGTGGGGCTTACTAAGGCTGCTGCCCCTGAGTTCAGTAATCCTCTATGAATTAGTTATGTATCAATCTATCATATGAAGACGGCAAATCTAAACGCAATCTATCTAACTTCTAGTCTCGAAAGGTGGCTCTTAGAAGAGCGTAAGTCGCGCAACGGGGTATTTCTCAACATAGGTACGGAAAGCCCCTGGGAACACCATTACGGGTGAAACTTCCGGTCTGCCACGACCCTCGTATCCTCCTATATGTATAATAATAGGGATCTGGGAAGATCACAGCTTGAACTGCTTAGCACATTCAATCCCCTCAGCAAACGTACCGACCCGTGCATCGATTGCATATCCCTCTGCCTCGAGTCTTTTGCATTCATCATAGAGTTTTGTCAGAGGAACAAGAAAGACCTCAATGAATTCGTCCTCCTCCAATTCCGGCTGAAGATTTTGATTCTCAGGCAAGGTCATGTCGACGATGACGTGAACCATTTTCAGATTGGTGTTGCAGAATCCTGGGTCTGTTGTCCACGTTAGCAATTAGCCATGAAGGGTTTGTAAGGGGACACATAGTTGTAAAACTAGTCTCAAAATAATATGCTACGAATACACTTACCATTGAACATCATGGGTGATGTCTCGGAAGCTTTGGCTACATAGCCCGTCTCCTCCTTTAACTCCCGGATGGCTGCCTCCTCCGCAGTTTCGCCCTCGTCAATAAGACCTGCCGGGACCTCAATAGTGACCTTGTCAATCGGTGCACGGTACTGTTGTACATTCAGTTGCCAGTACTTTCTTGTCAAACACACTTAACAGGTTACTAGAAGCGAAAGGGTATCGGCAGGTGTAGGAGAAGAATAGTATAGTATATGAACTGAGTTACGATTTGTATTGGAAATTCCCACTAGGCCGACGTAAGGCAGTGGAAAATAACTCCGACTACTGACCTGTTTCTGAAGAATGATCTCCGGACCGGTGGGCTTCTCCAAGATGGCTACGATTCCTACGCCATCGATGTCGCTGTTCTTCGGCCTCGTTGTGCGTTCAGCCGATTCCCAGGTGCGCGTCTGACTCTTCGGATCCTTGTAAGTCAGTCTACATGCGATGTCAATACAAGAAGCTGAGGCCCACTAGCAGAGATGCCTACTTCACCAGCTTGGTCCACACCGCATCACTATTGGCCTAGAACAATGTTGTAAGCAGAGGCTCAATTGAAGGTAATACGGCGAGCACTTACAAGCGGTTCTGTAGACAGAACCTGGGAATTTGCAAACGACATGGCTGATCCTTTGGGCGAAATTGATGGAAAATGCTGAAAATTTGTGAATAGAAAATAAAAATTGTGCGGATTGTTTGGTGCAATAAGCGTCAGCGAAACTCTGCCAGCCGGCACCCAGGTGTGCGCAGGTGGAGGTGGTGCTTCAGGGGTTAAAAGGGGTAGCCAACCAAGCATACCTAGGTACATACGGTATGTAGGTATGTACCTAAGCACCTATGAATACGTACAAAAGGTACTTAGGGAAGAATAGAATATATAATAGTAATTATTTCGATAGTAGGTGTGAGGAAGAGGCGAGAGGAGAAAAAAGGAGGCAAAAAATTGGTTAATCCCACCACCCATGGGTTCACAACCTTCCGGTAATTGAGGTCGAGTGGCAGGAGGAGGATAAGTTCCAAATACCTATATTTCTCGACCCGTGATCCACTCTCCAGTCGGAGAGGAGCCCCCAGTCGTAGAAAAGGCGGCCCCAATACCGTTTGGTCGTGCGCCCAGCGGGAATCGAGCCCGTAAATTTTTGAGAATTAGTTGCCTAAGAATCAAAGTGTTGGCCGCTTTACCACTCGGCCAACTGCCCTTTCCCCTGTACCCTCTTATCCATAGACCCCGTCTTGCTAGCAGAAGTTGTTATGCCCCTATATATGTTGCCCCTAGCTGCTCGCCTCTCGGGCTGTCCTTATTTTTCTAATGCATATCAAGGTCCACCTTCATGGGAACTATTTCAAACATCACAGTAACAGCTGACCCCTCAGATATTCTCAAGCAATTCTAGTCGTGTAGTTTAAAATAGCTGGAAGCCGACACATACGATACATCATTCTACATACAGTTTTATATTGATGCCATAGGTTAATCCATATGAGCGGGCTAACTCACCTGATCATGATATGGCTCTGTTTAAATAGACGCCCATATCATTCCCGAATCTGGCCGAGCCATCTTGGGTCCTAAAACATCTAATCGGCTCAAGGCTAGAAGGGCGCTGTCAGGACAAGATACCATATAAATTGTAGGTATTTGTTTAGCTAGAGCCGGTTGTTGGCTGGTTTACTGGTAGAATTACTACATTGATAGTTACCTAGGTACCTAGGTAGCATAAGCGTACCTACCGTACTACGCAGATAATTAAGGTATCGCTGCCCAAATATTACTGCTCCCTTTTTTTCTCCTCTGCACTTCCATAACCTCTCTCTCCCGGTCATAAGTTCTCGCTAGCAACGCGCCTCAAATTTCTTCTTTTATTAACTATCAACCAAGACCACCCATTCAATACCTGGCCAATTTTCCCCTATTCAAACTTCGCGATGGCGCGTAAGCATATTCCATACCTTCGATCGGTCCTGATCTTGGGCCTCAATGGAGGTCTCAAGTGGGAAACCATTCCTCGAGAGGAGTACGACGACAATAAAAAATTAGTGAAGACCTCCTACTCCCTCATCCACCACCCTCACTCCTTCCACATCACTAAGGTCCTGACGAAAGGGCTGAGGAGCAAAAATCCCTACATAATTAGCCTCGCATTGGCGGACATCTACCACCTTGCCGCCGACAACGTCAACCTGTGCTATTCTATGGAGCCTGAGGAGTTTTTTGCTTGTGCAAAAAACTCGTATGAATAGTCGAGCGAGTTTACGGATTGCGCTTTCTGGGCCTTCACATACAAGGCGTTCCATGCGCGAGCCATCTTTCTAGGCACGACGGCCTACCAGGGGGAACAGCAGCCGCAGGGCCAGCCACTGGTGGAAGCCCTCGACCGATTCCGAGAGACCTTTCTCGAGCACTACCCGATCGAGCATGCAGCCGTGCTAGACAAAGGCGACAAGATCTGCCAAGAGAACATAGAACTGGCCGAGGATGAGGTCTTCACGAACAAGCCCTTATACGACGAGTACTTCCCTCATCATCTCACATATCACACCGAATTGGGAGACGGCACGGACAAGATCATCAAATACACGCCGCTCCACGACCGCCCACAGTACGAGGGCGCCAAGACGACCACCCCCATCGACGACGACATCGATTTGTCGAACGTCCCCGACGAAGAGCTCTTTTACTACGATACTAAGTGCAAGTCTAAGCTCCGGGACGCGTTCGGGGAGGCGAGCCGATCGAAGCTCGATGCGGGCGGAGTCTCCAAGACTCAAGACCCGGCGATGGGCAAGCGTGTTCGAGATTTCGACGCGTCTAGTGGAGGACAGGGCAACGCCCTCAACTCGAAGAAAGCGGTGGACAAGGAGAAGGATATCATATCCGGGATGAAAAGAATGAGGCTGGACGAGGGCGAGGACGAGGACATCATGTCCAGGATGAAGAGAATGAAGTTGGAGGATTGATCAGATGGCCCCTTGTTCTTTTTTTAGTTTGTTCTCTTCTTACCTCTGTTTGTTGATTTTTTTCTTAGAGGTTTTCATCGATTGATTCGTCTGGGACGGATCCTAGTGCAGGGAATTTTGGTAGAACACAGGCTCTTATTCTTACTCTCAAGGTTTACTCTATCGTGAACTTATATCCATCTCCCATCTATGATCCTGACGGAATGCGTCTTTTGTTAAGCGTAAAAAAGAGAATCAAGACCAGTACTAGGTAGGCACGTCGTACTTGGCGGATAATAGGTTCGGCGGCATATGACGCAGAGACACCCGTATATACGATCAAGCGTATATGACTCCTATGATCATATGTCGGCATTCACGAATTCGTGAAGTTTGGTAGTTTATAACTACCCGAGGTCAAGGGCCCCGAAAATATTATAAGGAGCTTCATCTAAACCGAGCGATATTTAATTATTTGTTGTTGTAGACATATTATGTAATGGGCAGCTGCTGAACAAGAATAGATGAAATGGCGGGATGTACAAAATGCCAGGAGAAGTTCAACGTTAGTAAATAGGTAGGTTAGTTAGGATAGACTGAATATTTCCCTGTATTGCTTGAGGAGGAAATGGTATGACTAACAGATGTTCAAGCTCGTTCGGAATATTGGGCACTAGGATATTTTAGATGCCATAGTGCTAATACGATGCTAACACAAGTCCCTGAAGCATATGCCTAAGATGAAGTGGATAGTGTGATGTCATGTGACATTCAAAAGTGCAGCTACGGGGCAACATATATAGGGGCATAACAACTTCTGCTAGCAAGACGGGGTCTATGGATAAGAGGGTACAGGGGAAAGGGCAGTTGGCCGAGTGGTTAAGCGGCCAACACTTTGATTCTTAGGCAACTAATTCTCAAAAAGTTGCGGGTTCGATTCCCGCTGGGTGCGCGCTCAAAAGTGTCGACGTCACCTCTTCTTCGACTGGGGGCTCGAGGGTGTGCATATGGATTGAGAACGCTGGCGAATCTGACCAATATCAGTTCGTACATCTGACTTAGACCACTGCTGATCGCAAACCCATGGGTGGTAGGGATTAACCAACTTTTTTTTCCCTAGGTTTTTTTTTCTTTTTCCCTCCCACGCTTTTTCTCTCGTCCATCTTCCATGCTCCTTATAACCCACCCCCTTATCATATTCATCATCTTCCTCATCATACCTTGTCGGTTGACAAGATCTAGTACCTAGTGATACTAGGGATGGTAGCTGTATATAGCGATGGGTTCGTGATCTTGGTGTTTCTTGGCTTGCTTGATTGATTGGTTTACGTACGTGGGTGCTAGCTACTTCAATAGCTGATTGGTTGCCAGGTAATCAGCCTGGTTGCCAGCCTGGTATCCCACCAGGCTATTGCTCAGCCTGATTCCCTACGTAATATCCCATCATACCAGGTACTCTCGAAATAATTCATCTTGTATATTCCACGCTTCATCACCGTTTCCTACCACCCTTGCTGTACTTTCCTCAGTGCTTGTTTTCTATCCATTCAACCCTCCGAAAATCAGATAGTATCGTATTATAAGCAATGCTTAGGCTTTAGAGCAGAATACAAGCGCATACACATTTCTGGGAGCGCGGTACGGTCTTACTACAATCAAACCCTCGTACCTGACTAGCAACTTAATGCTTCGCCTCTTTTATGAGCCATGTGCTGGGGTTACATTGGTGGTTTTCATTAGGTACCTATGGCTCGAAGTATCCACTCGGACCGGGCCGGGGTAGAACGGCAGTAGTTGCTAAGCCGTGTCCCACTCTACAGTGCCTCCGGTTTCTAATTTTAGGTAATTCATTATTAGTCAGCATTCCTGTCCTATGTTTCCAAGATACATTCCTACGGGGTCTAATCTCATAATCTTCATAATAAGAAGATGGGAATATGTAAGACATGGTCCCCGTAATATTATTTCCGTCAGCTGTTTGGGGCAGTAAGAGAGTTGGGATTTATGCTTATTAAGCTACCTGAGTAGGTACCTAGGCTTGCAGACTTGTCGACACATGATGCTTGGCGTTGATTTCAACGAATGAAGGACGCCCGCCACAGTCGCAATGGAGGAATCATCACGTGAGACAGTTCTGCTACACGACTGAACGGTCAGATTTAGCTGTCTTCCCCACATGTGTTGAAACCTCAACCGTGACATTCCACAGCAGCACGTCCGACCGGCCGGGCTCCACAAGCACTTGAGCTTGCGCTAAGGACGGGCCGAACCGTCGTCCAAGGCCGATGGAACAAGTGAATATGTCAGGATTCTCTCTCTCGGTAATGGAAACCTGAATGCCCAGCCTTGTCTGTCCTGCTAATAGCCTTAGATGGAGGCGGTGTCCGTGGCAAGTCCAGTCTCCTAATCCTCGTGAATATCATGGAGAAAGTTCGCGAAGCCAATGGACTCGATCGGGTCCCTAAGCCGTGTGAATACTTTGATATGACCGGTGGTACAAGCACTGGAGGGTATAATAGCCACTTCCTCTTCCTTTTTTTCCCTGCTAACTCCATTCAGGATCATGGCGATCATGCTTGGGAGGTTAAGTATGACTGTCGACGAGTGCATATGCGCGTACGATAGAGTTGCCGAGATCGCGTTCACCCTAAAGCCGCATTTATGTGTCCCGCCGAAGGGTGCTTACTCTGCGCGAGCCCTTAAAGCTGCAATCAAACATACGGCGAAGGAGTTTTGCACGGAAGAGCCGTGTACTACGTGGGGTCTCATGGTCGATCAACGTCTGAGATGTGTCCACATGAAGACATTTTATTTCGCAATTCGTCATGCACTAAGACGTGGGTCCTCAATTAAGAGAGTTAATGCCACGGGAACAATGGTAGGCTAACGTTTCGTAGAGTTGTCCTCGCCATTAGAAAGGAACAAATCGATGCGCCGCCCTATCTCTTTAAGACATACGACACCTCCACCAGTCTTCAAGGCTGTGCCATTTGGCAAGTAGCCCGGGCCACCTCGGCCGCCACAACCTTCTTCAAGTCCATTAAACTAGGCCGAGACAATGTCGAGTTTATTGATGCAGGATTTGGCTATAACAATCCATGTAAAGTCATTATTAGCGAAGCCAGAGATCAATTTCCCGAGCGTAATCAGGTCCAAGTCCTAAGTATCGGTACCGGACTCGGACATGTCGTGTCTATCAAGAATTCGCGGCTGTCCATCCTAAAGCGCTGAAGGGTATGGCCACCATCTCGAATAAAGTAGCAGACGAGCTTGAAAGAGAATATGGCGACAGTAGGCAGTACTATAGGTTCAACGTCGACCGCGGCTTGGAAGATGTCACATTGTCTGATTGGGAGAAGGCAAGTAAGATCTCGGCGCACACGGGTAGCTATCTAGGCGAAGAAAAGAATCAAAGGGCAATCAGGCAATTTGTAAAAGGCTTCCTTGGTGGTCCTATAACACGAGCAGCGCCCGAATTCGGCGGAAGGCCTAGAAGTTAGTGTACAGGGAGCTCTACTACATTTGATATTTACTAACGTTATGATAGTCCGCACGTGTTTTCAAGTTCCCTTTCCTAGAAATAAGCGCTTTGTCGGACGGAGCGCGACGTTAGCTAGGCTAAAAGAAATGATATTCGGATCGGAGTGTCAGCAGGCAGCACTTGTGAGGGCTCGGCGGTATTGGCAAGACACAAGTTGCTCTGCAATTTGCGTACTGGATAAAGGATAACAAGCCAGAATACTCCGTTTTCTGGCTGCCAGCACTCAGCAAAGCAACTTTTGAACAGTCCTACGAAGAAATAGCAAGAGATCTTGCGATCGAGAAGGGTCCGAAAGATAAAGACATCAAGGACTCGGTACAACGCTATCTAAGCTCGGAGAAAGCGGGCAAGTGGTTTATCATCGTTGATAATGCAGATGATATGGAGTTGCTTTATGGCCCTTCCGGCGGAAGGGGAGGCATATACCAGGACCTTCCGAGAAGCGAGAATGGCCTCACTTTGTTCACCACTCGTTTCAGGGAAGTAGCTCAGGCATGTGCCGAGAACGATATTATTTAGTTGGCGGAAATGGATCCGCACGAAGCACTTCGTTTCCTTGAAACATCTCTCGATCGAAGAGCTCTGGCTTTCGACGAAGCCGGGGCAGAAGAGCTCGTCCGTGAGCTCACCTATCTTCCCTTAGCAATTAAACAAGCAGTTGCATATCTCGATACGGCAAAGCTACCCATTTCGGAATATTTGGGCCGGCTGCGAAGTGCCGAGCAGGACATGACGGCTCTGATGAGCAAAGAGTTTCAGGATAATTTCCGCTACTCGAATTCGCAGAATGCTGTTGCTACAACCTGGCTTGTGTCTTTCGAGCAAATACGCAAATTCGATCCTCTTGCAGCCCAACTTCTGGGTTTCATCTCACGTATTGAGCCGAAAGCGATACCTCAATGCATCCTACCTGGATCGCAACCAGAACAGCAATTGACAATAGCAATTGACACCTTGTGCGCCTACGCTTTTCTAACTAGACAAAACGACCGCCATATGTTCAATATGCACCGCCTTGTGCATTTAGGGTCCCGAATCTGGATACAAAGACATGGCTCTACAGCGCAAATCACATGCGACGCAATCATTCACCTCGAAAAGATGCTCTCGCCTAAAACCCGCAAATCAATACCGCGAGCGTATCTCCCGCATGCTCTTAGACTGCTGCACGAAAGCAGCGAGCATAATTTTCAGGAAAGATCCGACCTCTGTTACTGTGTTGGACGATGTTTGCTTGATGATAGGCGATACAAGGAGTCAATATGGGCTTTGGAAGAGCGCTGGCATTGGAGCACAAAGAGACTCGCAGACGATCACCCTCGTCGACTGGATCTAGAACATGACCTCGCCAGCACATACATACAAGACAGGCGTATTAAAGAAGCCATTCAATTACTTGAACATATTGTGGCAATTCGAGAGGGGGCACCTAAAGAGGACGACCGTGATCGCTTAGCTTCGGAACACCAACTTGCTAGGGCATACCTAGAGGACCAGCAGATTAAGGAAGCGATTGCGATGTTTGAACGTATCGTAACGGTTCAAAAGGAGCAACTTGCAGAGGACGACTATGATCGCCTAGTTTCGGAACACGAACTTGCTAGGGCATACCTAAGGGACGGACAGGCCCAACGAGCGATTCAATTATTGGAGCACGTTGTAGCTGTCCAGGAGGTGCTTCCAGAGGACTATGAGCAATTAAAATCAGCACACATGCTTGCCACTGCATACTTAGGTAATAACCAAGTCGAAGAAGCGGTTCAACTTCTCGAGCACGTTGTCACAGTCCAGAGAATGCCTCCGGAAAATGACAAATATCAACTCCGGTCAGAACATACGCTCGCCAGGGCATATTTAAAAGAGCTTTATTATTTACGCTGTGTCTAGCGTACTATCTGTGCTATGTTCCACCTAAAATATTCGATAATTCCATACACTAACACCTTTATATGCATTCTACCATACATATTAGATATCCTACTGAATATCGCCATCTACAACCAACCTTTTACGTATCCTCAACTAACCTAGCCTTAGCTAACCCCCGATCAACTCATAAGCAAGCCAATCAGTTAGTAAACTATCTTAACTGAGGCAGTCTAGGCAAGGCGATACATAAGCAACAGGAGGAGCTTGCCTAGGGAACCCGCGACCTCGATCCTGAGCCTCAAAAGGGGGTATTACATCGTAAGGTCCAGGCCAGGGCAGAGGCACGAGACAATATTCAACAAGAGCATGGTATTGAACAGCAGGGTATTGAACAGCAGGATGCTGAACAGCAACGCTTATATGGCGTATTAAGTCACTTGATATTCGGTGGGATATCTAATTTGTATGGTAGAATGCATAAAAGTGTTAGTGTATGGAATTATCGAATATTTTAGGTGGAACACAGCACAGATAGTATGCTA